AAACACGTCCCGCCAATGTTCTTCACTCATTAGGTGGGAACTGGGAACAATGAGTCAACTTAGACGTGGGAAGGGGGAGAACAGTTACATACCCTGGGGCCACACCTATTATGTGGGAAGGGGTCGGGGGAGGGTTGCAGCATTGGGAGTTATACCTGATGTAAATGACGAGTTGATGGGTGCTGACGAGTTGATGGGTGCAGCACACCAACATGGCACAAGTATACGTATGTAACCAACCTGCACGTTATACACATGTACCCTAGAACTTGAAGTATAATAATAAAAAAAAGTAAATGAAGTTGATTATAAAACCAAATAAAAGAATATATTTATTTTTAAAAATATTTTATATATAAATATAAAATCCTCTAATATAATATTAATGTTTTAATACTATTTAATATGATAAATCTTTTGATAAATTAGTATTTGTGATTCAAATAATTTTATTAATCCAGAAAATGGAAAATATTCAGTCACAGAAACCGAATTAAAAGTTGCTTAAAAATATCAGATTTCCAGAGACATCTTAAAGTGATACGAGTAACCAACTCCAAATTAGTTATTTATGTAAATAACCTGTTTCTTGGTACTGGAGCCTTCTTGTGAGCTGTTCAATAAAGAGAAGACACCTTTGGATTTCAACATGGATGACCTCCCACGCACAGTTGCTATAATTTTGGTGTTATAAGTAGTCATGAATCCCTTGGAAATAATTTTTTAGTCTAAGTATGATATTCCTCCTTTGCAAGAGTGAATGGCCCTCCTTCCTGGTTTCCTGCTCCAAACACACCTCTGTCTTCTCTATTTGCTGATAAAATCTGCTTAGGAGTCTCTCCAAGCTGCTTTCATTCCAAAAAGATAGGGAGACATTCAGGCTGAAAGTGTTGGCTATCTGCTGTAACATTTCTTATTTGGCAATGAGGGCACTTCCCTTTGAAAACAGGTTACTTTTAGAAACCTGGTAGAATTTGAAGGTGCTCCTGTCCTTTAGACGTTGCAGAGGAAATTTTTCTCCTAGGTTTTTTAAATATTGTAAAATCTCCCAGTTGCCGTTGCACCTTTGAAAGTGACAGTCCAGAGAGAATGCAGTAGTGGTGAGAAGTAGTACCAAGGCCCAATCCAGCAAGCATTGACTCCTTCACACTGCTGCTCCTTCCTGTAAGAGAGCTCGGGTATAGATCAGCTCTGACTGCAGGCTCCACATCTCCAAATTTATATATCTGAGGGAGCTTTGTTCTTGCTTGGTATTTCAGGATACCTCTACTGGTACTTTCATGTGGTCTTTGCCACTTTTCATTTACTATTTTCCAATCATAAACAAAAACTTTGTAGCATCACTAGACAGCAATACACACATTTGCTTTTATAATTGTGATGGATATAAACTATCTTCTATGAAAGATCAACCATCAGTTACATAAAAACAAAGCAGTGGATATCATTGCCTTAATTTGCATTTTTATGCATAGACTGTACTGGCTTGCCTTCATCTACTTATGCTTGTCCTTGTTCCAATCAAGGATGACTCTGGGTGAAATGCTTGTTTAGATATTTGGCATGGTTTTCAAGGCTTTGTTTTAGCTAATTGTATTTTATCATAAACTTGTATTTCAAAGCCCTTCAAACATGGCACATTGTTTAACCTATTTGCCAACTTCCTGATGTCTAAGGTGAAGAAAATATTATCACAGATGGTTGTTAGCAAGATTGGTGACTGATGATTGACACGGAGGAAGTGCTCAATCAATGCTTATTACCATAATGACCACAATCACCATCATCCTCTTAGGGAGAAGAAGGCCTAGCTGCCCCTGCCACTGACACACTTCTCTCTGGGGTTTTTGCTCTGTAAGGGCAAGAATGTTGCAGAGACTTGTGGATGAATGAGTACTGAAGCCAGTCAAGATGCTGTTTTAAAATCCTTTGAGATTTTATGCTTTGTAATGTATTTAACTAGGGTAGATTGTAGTGTTGAATGCACTGTGAACACCAACAGTTGATCAATGAGTAATATTACCAAGAGTAAGGAATGAGGTGAGGGGGTGACATTTATTGAGAATAAATTATGTGTGGGCACTGTGCTAGATGATGCGCTACTGTATACAAGGCAGGCCAGAATTGTCTGAAGGGAAAAGCTAGTCATCATGAGAATAACTAAAATGAGTGAAATAAAAAACCATCATATGATATTAAAGACAATAACGATCATCCTATATGCTGAAGAGTATTTTTATATAAATTCTCATTATGGACTAAATGTATAGCAATTTTACAATCCTCATTTTACGAGAGAGGAACCTGAATCTCAGCAACCCAATCTTACCTGCTAGGATTGGGTAAAGATTAGAGGGACTGTGCTCAAAATTGGAGATGACAAAGAGGTTTAATCCCAAATCAATTGGTCCTAGTGTTAGGGAGTGAGAGGGATTCAGAGGGCTTCATTTGGGCTAGGTGAAAAGAGTGCTGTAATCCACTAGCACTGTTTGCTGTGGGGTGAGGCAGCTCCCCTTCAAGCTGCCATCCCCATGTAAATGTTAAGCTATCTTATATATGTGTCTTGTTTGCTTGAGCATGAATGAAACAGGATGTAAGTTTGGAGTGAATAAGGGGAAATTAAACAGGCAAGACAGAAAAGGTGACCAGACCACAAACTATGAAGGAAACTAGAAAAATGGTAGTGATTTCTATAGGCTAATCCTATTTTTACAATCTGATATTAGAAAACAAAAAACACCACTTTTTTCTTTTCTTTCTTTTTCTTCTTTTGGTCATGGACAGACAATTTCTTTTTATTTATTTATTTATTTATTTAAATTTTTTATTATTATACTTTAAGTTCTAGGGTACATGTGCATAACGTGCATATGTTACATATGTATACTTGTGCCATGTTGGTGTGCCAGAAAATTCAGGGATAGTGATTTACAATTGAACTTCTAACTCATGGTGCTCATGGGGAAGT